GTTGTGTGTGTATCTACTACCTGTGTTGTGTGTGGATCCTACACTGTGTTGTGTGTGTATCTACTACCTGTGTTGTGTGTGTGTATCTACCACCTGTGTTGTGTGTGATCTACCACCTGTGTTGTGTGTGTGATCTACCACCTGTGTTGTGTGTGTGTGACCTACTACCTGTGTTGTGTGTGGACCTACACCTGTGTTGTGTGTGGATCCACTACCTGTGTTGTGTGTGTGGACCTACTACCTGTGTTGTGTGTGATCCACTACCTGTGTTGTGTGTGTATCTACTACCTGTGTTGTGTGGATTCACTACCTGTGTTGTGTGTGTGGACCTACTACCTGTGTTGTGTGTGGACCTACTACTGTGTTGTGTGGACCTACTCACCTGTGTTGTGTGTGGACCTACTACCTGTGTTGTGTGTGTATCTACTACCTGTGTTGTGTGTGGGACCTACTACCTGTGTTGTGTGTGTGACCTACTACCTGTGTTGTGTGTGTATCTACTACCTGTGTTGTGTGTATTCACTACCTGTGTTGTGTGTGGACCTACTACCTGTGTTGTGTGTGTGGATCTACTACCTGTGTTGTGTGTGTGTGTATCTACTACCTGTGTTGTGTGTGTGGACCTACCTGTGTTGTGTGTGTGTACCTTACTACCTGTGTTGTGTGGGACCTACTACCTGTGTTGTGTGTGTGGACCTACTACCTGTGTTGTGTGTGTATCTACTACCTGTGTTGTGTGTGTATTCATCACCTGTGTTGTGTGTGGACCTACTACCTGTGTTGTGTGTGTGTGGACCCACACCTGTGTTGTGTGTGTATCTACTACCTGTGTTGTGTGTGTGGACCTACTACCTGTGTTGTGTGTGTGCATTCACTACCTGTGTGTTGTGTGTGGATCTACTACCTGTGTTGTGTGTGTGGACCTACTACCTGTGTTGTGTGTGTGGATTCATCACCTGTGTTGTGTGTGGACCTACTACCTGTGTGTGTGTATCCTACTACCTGTGTTGTGTGTGGACCTACACCTGGTTGTGTGTATCTACTACCTGTGTTGTGTGTGTGGATCTACCACCTGTGTTGTGTGTGGATCCCTCCTACCTGTGTTGTGTGTGTGACCTACTACCTGTGTTGTGTGTGTGGACCTACTACCTGTGTGTGTGTACTACCACCTGTGTTGTGTGTGTGGTATACTACCTGTGTGTGTGTGGACCTACTACCTGTGTTGTGTGTATTCACTACCTGTGTTGTGTGTGTGGACCTACTACCTGTGTTGTGTGTGGACCTACTACCTGTGTTGTGTGTGGATCCACTACCTGTGTTGTGTGTGTGGACCTACTACCTGTGTTGGGGACCTCTACCGTTGATACTACTGTGAGTCTACTACCTGTGTTGTGTGTGGACCTACTACCTGTGTTGTGTGTGGACCTACTACCTGTGTTGTGTGGTGGACCTACTACCTGTGTGTGTGTGACCTACCACCTGTGTTGTGTGTGTGGACCTACTACCTGTGTTGTGTGTGGACCTACTACCTGTGTTGTGTGTGTGATCTACTACCTGTGTTGTGTGTGGACCTACTACCTGTGTTGTGTGTGACCTACTACCTGTGTTGTGTGTGTGGACCTACCACCTGTGTTGTGTGTGTGTATTCACTACCTGTGTTGTGTGTGGACCTACTACCTGTGTTGGTGGACTCACCACTGTGTTGTGTGTGGACCTACTACCTGGTTGTGTGTATCACTACCTGTGTTGTGTGGGACCTACTACCTGTGTTGTGTGGATCTACTACCTGTGTTGTGTGGGACCACTACCTGTGTTGTGTGTATACCACCGGTGTTGTGTGGACCTACTACCTGTGTTGTGTGTGTGTGGACTCCATTACCTGTGTTGTGTGTGGACCTACTACCTGTGTTGTGTGTGTGCCCACTACCTGGTGTGGGACCTACTCACCTGTGTTGTGTGTGTTGACTACCACCCGTTGTGTGGACCTACTACCTGTGTTGTGTGTGGACCTACTACCTGTGTTGTGTGTGGACTCACTACCTGTTGTGTTGGGACCTACCACCTGTGTTGTGTGGACATCACCTGTGTTGTGTGTGGATCCACACCTGTGTTGTGTGTGGACCTACTACCTGTGTTGTGTGTGTGTGAACCTACTACCTGTGTTGTGTGTGGGAACCTACTACCTGTGTTGTGTGAGGACCTACTACCTGTGTTGTGTGTGAACCTACTACCTGTGTTGTGTGTGGACCTACTACCTGTGTTGTGTGTGGACCTACTACCTGTGTTGTGTGTGTGTGAACCTACTACCTGTGTTGTGTGTGTGACCACCACCTGTGTTGTGTGTGTGACCTACTACCTGTTGTGTGTGTGAACCTACTACCTGTGTTGTGTGGACCTACTACCTGTGTTGTGTGTGGACCTACTACCTGTGTTGTGTGGACCTACTACCTGTGTTGTGTGGACCTACTTGTGTTGTGTGTGGACCCACTACCTGTGTTGGTGTGGACCCACACCTGTGTGTTGTGGACCATACCTGTGTTGTGTGTGAACCTACTACCTGTGTTGTGTGTGGGACCCACTACCTGTGTTGTGGTGGACCACTACCTGTCTAGGTGTGTGGACTCACTACCTGTGTTGTGTGTGGACCAACCTGTGTTGTGTGGACACTGACCATTTTGTGGTGTGGACCTACTACCTGTGTTGTGTGTGACCTTACCTGTGTTGGTGTGGATCTACACCGTGGACCTACTACCTGTGTGTTGTGTGTGGACCTACTACCTGTGTTGTGTGTGGAACCTACTACCTGTGTTGTGTGTGGACCTACACCTGTGTTGTGTGTGGACCTACTACCTGTGTTGTGTGTGGACCTACTACCTGTGTTGTGTGTGGACCTACTACCTGTGTTGTGTGTGTGGACCTACTACCTGTGTTGTGTGTGGGACTCACTACCTGTGTTGTAACCTACTACCTGTGTTGTGAACCTACTACCTGTGTTGTGTGTGGACCTACTACCTGTGTTGTGGTGGACCTACTACCTGTGTTGTGGAACCTACTACCTGTGTTGTGTGTGGACCTACTACCTGTGTTGTGTGTGGACCACTACCTGTGGTGGGAAACCTGGTGCCTACTACCTGTGGTGTGGACCTACTACCTGTGTTGTGTGTGGACCTACTACCTGTGTTGTGTGTGGACCACACCTGTGGTGTGGGACCATACCTGTGTTGTGGGACCCACCACCTGTGTTGTGTGTGACCTACCACTGTGTTGTGTGTGTGGACCTACTACCTGTGTTGTGTGTGGACCTACCACCTGTGGTGTGTGGACCCACTACCTGTGTTGTGTGTGGACCTACTACCTGTGTTGTGTTGAACCTACTACCTGTGTTGTGTGTGGACCTACTACCTGTTGTGGACCTACTACCTGTGTTGTGTGTGGACCCTACTGGGACCTACACCTGTGTTGTGTGTGTACCTACTACCTGTGTTGTGTGTGTGGACCCTACTACCTGTGTTGTGTGTGGACCTACTACCTGTGTGTGGGACCTACTACCTGTGTTGTGTGTGAACCCACTACCTGTGTTGTGTGTGGGACCACTACCTGTTGTGTGTGTGACCTACTACCTGTGTTGTGTGTGGACCTACTACCTGTGTTGTGTGTGAACCTACTACCTGTGTTGTGTGTGGACCTACTATGGGGACACTACCTGTGTTGTGTGTGGACCCACCTGTATGTGTGTGAACCTACACCTGTGTTGTGTGTGTGGACCTACTACCTGTGTTGTGTGTGAACCTGTGACCACCTGTGTTGTGTGTGGACTACTACCTGTGTTGTGTGTGGACCTACCACTGTGTTGTGTGTGGACCTACTACCTGTGTTGTGTGTGGACCTACACCTGTGTTGTGTGTGGACCTACTACCTGTGTTGTGTGTGTGGACCTACTACCTGTGTTGTGTGTGGACCTACTACCTGTGTTGTGTGTGGACCTACTACCTGTGTTGTGTGTGGACCCTACTACCTGTGTTGTGTGTGGACCTACCACCTGTGTTGTGTGAACACCTGTGTTGTGGACCACTACCTGTGTTGTGTGTGGACCACACTGTGTTGTGTGTGGACCACACTGTGTGTGTGTGGACCTACTACCTGTGTTGTGTGTGACCTACTACCGACCACCTGTGTTGTGTGGACCTACTACCGTTGTGTGTGTGTGGACCTACTACCTGTGTTGTGTGTGTGACCTACTACCTGTGTTGTGTGTGGACCACTACCGTTGTGTGGACCTACACCTGTGTTGTGTGTGACTACTACCTGTGTTGTGTGAACCACTACCTGTGTTGTGTGTGGACCTACTACCTTGTTGGGGACCTACTACCTGTGTTGTGTGTGTGACCTACTACCTGTGTTGTGTGTGGACCTACTACCTGTGTTGTGTGTGACCTACTACCTGTGTTGTGTGTGAACCTACTACCTGTGTTGTGTGTGAACCTACTACCTGTGTTGTGTGTGGACCTACTACCTGTGTTGTGTGTGGGACCTACTACCTGTGTTGTGTGTGAACCTACTACCGGTTGTGTGTGTACCTACTACCTGTTTCCAGCTGTGTGTGTGTGTGTGTGTGTGTGTGTGTTTACATGTATTCGCATGTATGTACTGTACTGTATGTATGTATGTAAGCTTGTATGTATGTAATTAAATACCTATTATACTAAGACTCACATAATGACTTATTTATGACTTAAAAAGATTAATTACCTGTGTGTGACAAATGAGAATAATTAATTAAGTCTTTCGTGGGAAGTTGAATTTTTTTTAAGAGAGTGTAAGAGGCGCGTCATGATTTATGGTTCTAAATAAGGTTCCAGTAATGTTCCTTCTTCTTTATCCTCAACGACTTGACTAACTTTTAATTTATTCATGGCTGTCAATTTAGGAGGTGAGTTTGTTGTTTATGTATGTACACACACACACACACACACACTCTCTCTCTCTCTCTCTCCCATTCATACTCACACACTCACTCTCTCCCACAGAAGGTGTGTGGGGCCCGGGGCTGGGGGCAGGAGGACCACAACTACAACAAGACGCGGGAAACTCTCAGGAGGCTGTGGGAGGTCCTCACTAGCAAGGCTGACAAGGATCACGACAAGCAGGTATGTCTGTCTGTCTCTGTGTCTGTGTACGTCTGTCTGTGTCTCTCTGTATGGTTGTTGGTTGTCTCTCTGTACCCCTTTCTCCTCCTCCTCCCCCTTCCTTCTTCCCCCTCCTTCCAACTTCTCTATCCTCTTGTCTCGGCCCTCCCACTTATTCCCCTTCCATCTATCTCTCCTTCCTTCGTTAAACCTCACAGTTTCCTTCCCCTCCATTCTGCCCTCCCTTCCCTTCACCCTCTTCCCACCCTTCACTCCCCCTCCACCATCCTTCATCTCCCTCCCCACCCTTCCCTCACCCCTCCACCCTTCCCCACCTCTCCACCCATCCCTTCCATCTCCTTCTCACCCTCCACCTCTTCCTTCACCTCCTCCCCCACCCTTCCTCACCCCCTCTCCACCCTTCCTCACCTCCACCCCCCACCCTTCCTTCATCTCTCCACCTTCCTTCACCCTCTCCACCCCTTCCCTTTCACCCCTCTCTCCACCTCTTCCTCACCTCTCCACCCTTTCACCTCACCTCACCCTCCCCACCCTTCACCCTCTCCACCCTTCCTTCACCCCCTCCACCCCTTCCTTCACCCTCTCCACCTTCCTTCACCCTTCAGCTACCCTTCACCCCCTTACTTGAAGCGTCTGGAGAGATCACGTGGGTTAGGTGCACCTGAAGCCTTCTTGTTTGAGTGTGGAGATTGCTGAGTGTGGGTTGTTTTCTTTGAGTGTGGATGATTGTTAGATTGTGGAGGCTTGTCTGAGTGTGGAGGATTGTTTGAGTGTGGAGGATTGTTTGAATGTGGAGGATTGTTTGAGTGTGGAGGATTGTTTGAGTATGGAGGATTGTTTGAGTGTGGAGGCTTGTTTGAGGTGGATTCTTGTTTGAGTATGGATTCTGTTTGAGTATGGAGGATTGTTTGAGTGTGGAGGCTTGTTTGAGTGTGGAGGATTGTTTGATTGTGGAGGCTTGTTTGGAGTGTGGGGATTGTTTGAGTGTGGAGGATTTTTTGAGTATGGAGGATTGTTTGAGTGTGGAGGCTTGTTTGAGCATGGAGGATTGTTTGGTGGAGGCTTGTTTGAGGTGGAGAATTGTTTGAGTGTGAGGCTTGTTTGAGTGTGGAGAATTGTTTGAGTGTGGAGGCTTGTTTGAGTATGGAGGATTGTTTGAGTGTGGAGGATTTTTTGAGTATGGAGGATTGTTTGAGGTGGAGGATTGTTTGAGTGGAGGCTTGTTTGGAGTGTGGAGGCTTGTTTGAGGTGGAGAATTGTTGAGTGTGGAGGCTTGTTTGAGTGGAGAATTGTTTGAGGTGGAGGCTTGTTTGAGCATGGAGGATTGTTTGAGTGTGGAGGCTTGTTTGAGTGTGGAGAATTGTTTGAGTGTGGAGGCTTGTTTGAGCGTGGAGGATTGTTTGAGGTGGAGGCTTGGAGTGTGAGCTTGAGTGGGCTTGTTTGAGTGTGGAGGATTTTTGAGTATGGAGGTTGTTTGAGTGTGGAGAATTGTTTGAGTGTGGAGGCTTGTTTGAGTGTGGAGGCTTGTTTGAGTGTGGAGATTTTAGTATGGAGGCTTGTTTGAGGGGTTGTAGTGATGATTGTTTGAGTGTGGAGGCTTGTTTGAGTGTGGATGATTGTTTGAGTGTGGAGGCTTGTTTGAGTGTGGAGGCTTGTTTGAGTGTGGATGATTGTTTGAGTGTGGAGGCTTGTTTGAGTGTGGAGGCTTGTTTGAGTACAAACAATAGAAAAAAATAACGTTGAATTGATAAATATGAACTACTTGAGTGTAACATTGCGTGTGTTGCGTGCGAAAAAGGTTATAAGTTCAACTTAAGTCTCATAAACAAATATAGACCCGTGGTGCTTGAGCGCCAGTCAGCGCTTGGTGGTAGTCATGGTCCAGTAATTGAGCGTCAGGTTTGTGGGCGGCAAACTGTAATCTTCTAATGCAGGAAATTGTGAGCTGATATACTGACCTCGTTAAGTAGGTGCTGGGTGGTTGTGTGGGTGGCTAACTGGGTGGTTGTGTGGGTGGCTAACTGGGTGGTTGTGTGAGTACAACTGGTGGTTGTGTGGGTGGCTAACTGGGGTTGTGTGGGTAGTAACTGGGGTTGTGTGGGGCTAACTGGGTGGTTGTGTGGGTGGCTAACTGGGTGGTTGTGTGGGGAGGCTAACTGGTGGTTGTGTGGGTGGCTAACTGTGGTTGTGTGGAGGCTAACTGGGTGGTTGTGTGGGTGGCACCGGGTGGTTGGTGGGTGGCTAACGGGTGGTTGTGTGGGTGGCTAACTGGATGGTTGTGTGGGTGGCTAACTGGGTGGTTGTGTGGGTGGTAACTGGGTGGTTGTGTGGGTGTCAACTGGGGTTGTGTGGGTGTTAACTGATGGTTGTGTGGTGGCTAACGGGTGTGTGGGTGGCTAACTGGATGGTTGTGTGGGTGATAACTAGGTGGTTGTGTGGGTGGCTAACTGGGTGGGTGGTGGCTAACGGATGGTTGGGTGACTAACTGGGTGGTTGGGTGGCTAACTGGTGGTTGTGTGGCTAACTGAGGGTTGTGTGGGTTAACTGGGTTGTGGGTGGCTAACTGGGGTTGTGTGGGTGGCTAACTGGTGGTTGTGTGGGTGGCTAACTGGGTGGTTGTGGGTGGCTAACTGGGTGGTGTGGGTATTAACTGGGTGGTTGTGTGGGTGGCTAACTGATGGTTTGTGGGTGGCTAACTGTGGTTGTGTGGTGGCTAACTGAGGGTTGTGTGGGTATAACTGGGTGGTTGTGTGGGTGGCTAACTGGGTGGGTGTGTGGGTGACTAACGGGTGGTTGTGTGGGTGGCTAACTGGGTGGTTGTGTGGGTAGCTAACTGGGTGGTTGTGTGGGTGGCTAACTGGGTGAGTGTGTGGGTGACTAACGGGTGGTTGTGTGGGTAGTAACTGGGTGGTTGTGTGGGTGGCTAACTGGGGTTGTGTGGGTGCTAACTGGGTGGTGTGTGGGTGGCTAACTGGGTGAGTGGTGACTAACGGGTGGTTGTGTGGGTAGTAACTGGTGGTGTGTGGGTGGCTAACTGGGTGGTTGTGGGTGGCTAACGGGGTGGTTGTGTGGGTGGCTAACTGATGGTTGTGTGGTGGCTAACGGTGGTTGTTGTGTGGGTGGCTAACTGGATGGTTGTGGTAATAACTGGATGGTTGTGTGGGTAGCTAACTGGATGGTTGTGTGGGTGCTAACTGGGTGGTTGTGTGGGTGGCTAACTGGGTGGTTGTGTGGGTGGCTAACGGGGTGGTTGTGTGGGTGGTAACTGGATGGTTGTGTGGGTGGCTAACTGGGATGGTTGTGTGGTAGCTAACTGGATGGTTGTGTGGGTGGCTAACTGGGTGGTTGTGTGGGTGACTAACGGGGTGGTTGTGTGGGTGACTAACTGGGTGGTTGTGTGGGTGGCTAACGGGGTGGTTGTGTGGGTGGCTAACTGGGTGGTTGTGTGGGTGTGCTGGATGGTTGTGTGGGTAGCTAACTGGATGGTTGTGTGGGTGGCTAACAGGGGTGGTTGTGTGGGTGACTAACTGGGTGGTTGTGTGGGTGGCTAACTGGGTGGTTGTGTGGGTGGCTAACTGGGTGGTTGTGTGGGTGGCTAACTGGATGGTTGTGTGGGTAGCCTACTGGATGGTTGTGTGGGTGGCTAACTGGGTGTGTGTGGGTGGCTAACTGGGTGGTTGTGTGGGTGGCTACTGGATGGTTGTGTGGGTAGCTAACTGGATGGTTGTGTGGTGGCTAACTGGGTGGTTTGTGTGGCTAACGGGGTGGTTGTGTGGGTGACTAACTGGTGGTTGTGTGGCTAACTGGGTGGTGTGTGGGTGACTACTGGGTGGTTGTGTGGGTGACTAACGGTGGTTGTGTGGGTGACTAACTGGGGTGGTTGTGTGGGTGACTAACTGGGTGGTTGTGTGGGTGGCTAACTGGATGGTTGTGTGTGGGAGCTAACTGGATGTGGTTTTGGGTGCTAACTGGGTGGTTGTGTGGGTGAGCTAACGGGTGTGGTTGTGTGGGTGGCTGGGTGGTTGTGTGGGTGACTAACTGGGTGGTTGTGTGGGTGGCTAACTGGATGGTTGTGTGGTGCTAACTGGATGGTTGTGTGGGTGGCTAACTGGGGTGGTGTGTGGGTGACTAACTGGGTGGTTGTGTGGGTGGCTAACGGGGTGGTTGTGTGGGTGGCTAACTGGGTGGTTGTGTGGGTGGCTAACTGGATGGTTGTGTGGTGGCTAACTGGATGGTTGTGTGGGTGGCTAACTGGGTGGTTGTGTGGGTGACTAACTGGGGTGGTTGTGTGGGTGGCTAACTGGGTGGTTGTGTGGGTGGCTAACTGGATGGTTGTGTGGGTGGCTAACTGGATGGTTGTGTGGGTGGCTAACTGGGTGGTTGTGTGGGTGACTAACGGGGTGGTTGTGTGGGTGGCTAACTGGGTGGTTGTGTGGGTGACTAACGGGGTGGTTGTGTGGGTGACTAACGGGTGGTTGTGTGGGTGAGGTGGTTGTGTGGTGGCTAACTGGGTGGTTGTGTGGGTGACTAACTGGGGTGGTTGTGTGGGTGACTAACGGGGTGGTTGTGTGGTGACTAACTGGTGGTTGTGTGGGTGGCTAACTGGAGGGGTTGTGTGGGTGGCTAACTGGGTGGTTGTGTGGGTGACTAACGGGTGGTTGTGTGGGTGACTAACTGGGTGGTTGTGTGGGTGACTAACGGGGTGGTTGTGTGGGTGGCTAACTGGGTGGTTGTGTGGGTAGCTAACTGGATGGTTGTGTGGGTGGCTAACGGGGTGGTTGTGTGGGTGACTAACTGGTGGTTGTGTGGGTGTGGGGTGGTTGTGTGGGTGGCTACTGGGTGGTTGTGTGGTGTGCTGGATGGTTGTGTGGGTAGCTAACTGGATGGTTGTGTGGTGCAAACTGGTGGTTGTGTGGGTGACAACGGGGTGGTTGTGTGGGTGACTAACTGGGTGTGTTGTGTGGGTGGCTTGGATGGTTGTGTGGGTACTAACTGGATGGTTGTGTGGGTGGCTAACTGGTGGTTGTGTGGGTGACTAACTGGGTGGTTGTGTGGGTGGCTAACTGGGGTGGTTGTGTGGGTGGCTAACTGGGTGGTTGTGTGGGTGGCTAACTGGATGGTTGTGTGGTGCTAACTGGATGGTTGTGTGGGTGGCTAACTGGGTGGTTGTGTGGGTGACTAACGGGGTGGTTGTGTGGGTGACTAACGGGGTGGTTGTGTGGGTGACTAACTGGGGTGGTTGTGTGGGTGGCCTACTGGGTGGTTGTGTGGGTGACTAACGGGGTGGTTGTGTGGGTGGCTAACTGGGGTGGTTGTGTGGGTGACTAACTGGATGGTTGTGTGGGTGGCTAACTGGGTGGTTGTGTGGGTGGCTAACTGGGTGGTTGTGTGGGTGACTAACTGGGTGGTTGTGTGGGTGGCTAACTGGGTGGTTGTGTGGGTGACTAACTGGGTGGTTGTGTGGGTAACTGGGTGGTTGTGTGGGGAGCTAACTGGGTGGTTGTGTGGGTGACTAACTGGGTGGTTTGTGTGGGTGACTAACGGGTGTGGTTGTGTGGTGGCTAACTGGGTGGTTGTGTGGGTGACTAACTGGGTGGTTGTGTGGGTGACTAACGGGGTGGTTGTGTGGGTGACTAACTGGGTGGTTGTGTGGGTGGCTAACTGGGTGGTTGTGTGGGTGGCTAACTGGATGGTTGTGTGGGTAGCTAACTGGATGGTTGTGTGGGTGACTAACTGGGGTGGTTGTGTGGGTGGCTACTGGATGGTTGTGTGGGTGACCTGGGATGGTTGTGGGTGACTAACGGGGTGGTTGTGTGGGTGACTAACTGGGTGGTTGTGTGGGTGACTAACTGGGTGGTGTGGGTGACTAACGGGGTGGTTGTGTGGGTGGCTAACTGGGTGGTTGTGGGTGGCTAACTGGTGTGGTTGTGTGGGTGACTAACTGGGTGGTTGTGTGGGTGACTAACTGGTGGTTGTGTGGGTGGCTAACTGGGTGGTTGTGTGGGTGGCTAACTGGGTGGTTGTGTGGGTGACTAACTGGGTGGTTGTGTGGGTGGCTAACTGAGGGTTGTGTGGTGGCTAACTGGATGGTTGTGGGTGGCTAACTGGATGGTTGTGTGGGTGGCTAACTGAGGGGGTTGTGTGGGTGGCTAACTGGGTGTTTGTGGGTAACTGGATGGTTGTGTGGGTGGTTGTGTGGGTGGCTAACTGGATGGTTGTATGGGTGCCTAACTGGGTGGTTGTGTGGGTGGCTAACTGGATGGTTGTGTGGGTGGCTAATGGGGGGGTTGTGTGGGTGGCTAACTGGGTGGTTGTGTGGGTGGCTAACTGGGTGGTTGTGTGGGTGGCTAACTGGGTGGTTGTGTGGGTGACTAACTGGGTGGTTGTGTGGGTGGTTGTGTGGGTGGGTGCCAGATTGAGCCACATAAACCCGCCTCTCCTCACTGGTAACCCACACCATAAAGCGCTATCGTTTTATCGTGAATAAATCTGAATATTAAATAGGTCGAGATGTTCCCGCCTGGCTGACAACATGGCCACTCTTTTGTTATGTGACAGTGTTGGAGGACTACCACGAACCAATTATGCCTAATAGGGGTATATTTATGTCAAGTTGGTTTAGATTAAGTTTGGCATGAACTGTCAAATTTATAGACATAAATATACCGTTATTAGGTTTAATTAGTATATAAAAATCCACACTATCACAAGAATTAATAAAGTGGTTCGTTTCCCTTAAAAAAATACACGACCAGCTCGTATCCCCTTAAAATAAGTACATCTTTCTTATCGCGGAAAAATTAACGGGGAGGTGGTCCGTATCCCTTATATAAACAAGAAGAAGGTCGGAGTGTAGGTCACTCTGCAGGTTTGATTTATATACAGGTGTAACTGTATTGACCTATGGGCTGGGCAGGGCGATGTTTACACTGTGACTTGGCTGCCTCCTGTGTTTTGTTGGAGTGTGGCGAGGTGTAATTCCCGGAAGACTTATATCTACACACACACAATCATAACTACAGTATATAGGGAGGCCATAACAAAAGAGGCCGCCTTGATCACGTGAGACAGGTGATAAAGCATCAGGTTGTAACGCCGCACCCGTACCATCAGGGCCGGAGTCAGGAGTGGGCAAAGTGGGCAGCTGCCCAGGGGCCTCCACATATTGCAATATTTTATTTATTTGTTTATTCATTTGGATTATTTTTACTTTCATTCTTTAAAATTCATGGGAATTTGTACACTATCAATAAATATACAGTTAATTAAAAAATTCTCAATGTTCTAATTTCCTCAATATAACTGCATATGGCTTCAAAATTCTCCAAAGAAGTGTTCAAATTTCAAAAATTTCCCGGGGGGCTTCCAGCGCCCCCCGGAACTCACAGATGTTTAGGCTCGCTTCACTCGCCACCCCACCCTCTTGGGTAGTTATAATGAGGGGGGCCTCCACAAAGAGGCTGCCCATGGGCCTCCACAGGTCTAAATACGGCACTGCGTACCATTACTACCTGCCCAGGCTTAAAACTTTCTACTCTACATTCTCCTCGTGAAGGAAGGTGTGACAATGTTATCTTAGCCTGTTCAGAGTCTCGCACGTTCTACCGATGAATGTTTCACGTATCTGATGTTGTGGGAAAGTTACCTGAAGATAAAACTTGGACATAAGTAAAAAAATATCGTTAAAAAATTACATCAAAGTTACCTAGAATAACACGTTTGTGTCCCTCCAGATACACACACTGCTGTTGGTATAGTAGTTCTCACCTCAGTATCACATGACGTCACACAACACGTTCCGCCTACCTGTTTGTTCAACATTAAACAGTCATGAATCCTTAATGAATCCGAGGCGTTCTTGTACACACTTCACCAAAAACGTTTCCACTTATCATCACCTGAAGATTAGCCCCAACATATTTCACCTAAAGCTTAACCGCCCTAACATAACATAACCCTAACCTAACCTAACTAATTTCACCTAACCTAAGTCCTCCAGGAAGCGTTAGGTTAGGTTAAGTTAGGTAAGGTGGGTTAAGTTAAGGATTAATCTTAATATATAATCAACTCAAGGAACTCAACCTTAAAACAATTTGTCAGTATTTACTTGTATTCTTCTCACACTTTCATCTCCTCATATTTATTTTCTGTTCTTATCTACTTCCTACCTTCTGTGATGTTTATCAATATCATATTCATGCCCACACACACACACACACACACACACACCACGACTACTACCACAACTACTGCCACAACTTTTACCACAACTACTACCACGACTACTACCACAACTACTACCACAACTACCACAACTACTACCACAACTTTTTTTCTACCACAACTACTACCACAACTACTACCACGACTACTACCACAACTACTACCACAACTACCACACAGGTGTCGGTGGAGGAGTGGTACTGGGCATGGAGAGAGGACGAGACCGCTGGCAGGGAATGGAGTCACATCTTCAGAGACTTGATGTTTCTGCTGGAAGACGCTTCAGGTGAGTGGGATATGAGAGGGAGGGGGTGAGTGGGAGATAAATTGGGAGGGTAAGTTAATGGGGTGAGAGGTGTGGGTGAATGGGAGGGAGAGTGGGTTAGTGGATGAAAGAGTGAGTGGGAGGGCTGATGGGTAGGCCGAGTGGGAGATGAAAGGGGAGTGAGTGGGAGGGTAATTGGGACGGAGAGTGGGTGAGAGGGAAGTTAATTGGTAGGATTGATGGGAGGATGAATGGGAGGGAGAGTTGGTGGGTGAGAGGGTAGAGTGAGTGGGTTGGTGAGAGGGTAGAGTGAGTGGGTTGGTGAGAGGGTAGAGTGAGTGGTGGGTGGTGAGAGGGGTAGAGTGAGTGGGTTGGTGAGAGGGTAGTGAAGTAGAGGAGGGGTTAGTGAGAGGGGTAGAGTGAGTGGGTTGGTGAGAAGGGTAGAGTGAGTGGGTTGGTGAGAGGGTAGAGTGAGTGGGTTGGTGAGAGGGTAGGGGAGTGAGAGTAGGTTGGAGGGGTAGAGTGAGGGTAGGAGTGGAGAGGGTTGGTGAGAGGGTAGAGGAGGGTTGGTGGAGAGGGTAGAGTGAGTGGGTTGGTGAGAGGGTAGAGGTGGCTGGTGAGAGTAGAGTGGAGTTGGTGAAGGGTAGAGGAGGGTTTGGTGAGAGGGTGGGTTGGTGAGAGAGAGTTGGGGTGAAGAGAGTGGAGGGGTTGGTGAGGAGGGTAGCAGGGGGTAGAGGAGTGAGAAGGTAGAGTTGTTTGAGAGGGTAGAGGAAAGGGTAGAGTGGAGTGGGTTGGTGAGAAGGTAGAGTAGGGGTTGGTGAGAGGGTAGAGTGGGTTGGTGAAATGGTAGAGTGAGTGGGGTTGGTGAGAAGGTAGAGTGAGGGTTGGTGAGAGGGTAGAGTGAGTGGGTTGGTGAGAAGGTAGGAGGAGTGGGTTGGTGAGAGGGTAGAGTGAGTGGGTTGGTGAGAAGGTAGAGTGAGTGGGTTGGTGAGAGGGTAGAGTGAGTGGGTTGGTGAAAGCGGACACGTGTAAGAGGAGAGAGGGAGTGTACAGGTGTCAACAGGTAACCATGTCCACTAATTACAGGTGACGGACACGTGTAAGAGGAGAGAGGGAGTGTACAGGTGTCAACAGGTAACCATGTCCACTAATTACAGGTGACGGACACGTGTAAGAGAGAGGGAGTGTACAGGTGTCAACAGGTAACCATGTCCACTAATTACAGGTGACGGACACGTGGACATAGACGAATACGTGGCTCTCTACACAGCCCTAGGACTGACAGCTGCCCAGTGTAGGGAAGCCTTCAGGCGTGTTCAAAAGGTGTGTGTGTATGTGTAATATATTTCTTCTAATTTACAATGAAAAATATTGAGAAACGGTGTTTATTTTGGGCAATTTGTACTTCTCTCTTTCTCTCTCTTCAGGAGGACGCAGGAGAAGTCACCAAGGAGAAGTTTGACGAGCTGTGGGAGCAATACTTTCACTCTGAGAACATTGACGCTCCTGGCAATTACATCTTCGGCAAATTCGACTTTTAAGACACAAGGAAAGATCTCCACCGTGAACTGGGTCTCCTTAGCTATAGCTTAGCTTCTTAGTTATATTTACATAGCTAGTTGGAGACTCCTATAGATGTCGGTCTCCTACTGGGGTGCTTCTGGTGGTCTCCTAGTGGCTTGGAGATTCACTAGAGAGAAAAAGGAGACACAAAGTTCTTGCCCACTGATGAGAGACTCGTACGATAACTTCTCTTTTGAGTACGATAACTTCCCTCTTGGGTATGGTACCTCTTGATGTTTAATGATAAAAAAAAATTATCTCATTTTAGGTTTTGCTTAATATGAATTTCCCCTGTTTCGTATTTATTGAGATTGATGTTTAATTTATATTGATACTTTGTAATTTCTGCTCCCAACATACACATTATTATTTAACTCTTTCGTTAATACTTGTTGAAAAATTACATACTGTAAAAGAAAATATTATTATTGTTATCTTATATATTTTGGTACAATAATGGTATTTGTTTGTAGTTTACCATAAGCAAACACACGAATGACTTAGTTTATCGCAGGCACACACACACACATGAATGGCTTAGTTTAACCACACACACACACACACACACACACATGAATGGCTTAGTTTAACCACAAACACACACACACACACATGAATGGCTTAGTTTAACCACACACACACACACACACACACACATGAATGGCTTAGTTTAACCACAAACACACACACACACACATGAATGGCTTAGTTTAACCACACACAACACACACACACACACACATGAATGGCTTAGTTTAACCACAAACACACACACACACACACATGAATGGCTTAGTTTAACCACACACACACACACACACACACACACACACACACACACACACATGAATGGCTGAAGTAATGCAGTCACACACACACACACACACACACACGCGAATGGCTTAGGCTTACCACACACACACGAATGGCTTAGCTTTACCACACACACACACACACACACACACACACACACACACACACACACACACGAATGACTTGAAGGCTTACTGCAGGCACACACACACACACACACACACATGAATGGCTTAGTTTTACCACACACACACACACGAATGACTGGCTTAGTTTAACCACACACACACACACACACACACACATGAATGGCAATTTACCACACACACACACACACACACACACACACACATGAATGGCAGTTTAACCACACACACACACACACACACACACACACACACACATGAATGGTTTAGTTTAACCACACACCTCCTCCACATGAATGGCAGTTTCAACACACCTTCATACATACACACATGAATGGCTTAGTTACCTCACAGACACACACACACACACACACACACACACATGAATGGCTTAGCTTACCGCAGACACACACACACACACACACACACACGAATGGCTTAGTTTACGCACACACACAAACATGATTGGCTTAGTTTACCGCAGACACACACACACACACACACATGGATGGCTTAGTTTACCGCAGACACACACACACACACACACATGGATGGCTTAGTTTACCGCAGACACACACACACACACACACACACATGAATGGCTTAGCGCAGACACACACACACACACACACGAATGACTCAGTTTACGTACACGCACACACACACAAACACACACACATACACATGAATGGCTTAGTTTACTGCACACACACAAACACACACACACACACACACACACCAATCTTCTCGACCACAAAAACACAAAATTAATATATATTGAACAAGTTAACATCAGTAATGAATAATTTATAATCAGACTTTGAATTATTGTTTATAGACTTTGAGACAAAATTCACTCGTATTAGACTCGAGATGTACCGAGTGCTCCTTTCTTCAGTGGGTTACATACTGTACATTGTGACATCTTCAACACACACACACGTATAAAACTAAAAACATAGAACTAATCAATAATGAGACAGAATAAAAAGGTAAACCAAACAGATAAAGCTGAAAAAATAATTAAAAGCACAATGACAGGAATAAGAACATGACTAAATTAAACAGAAGAGCATCTCCCATATATATTCTATAAATTATATAATATTAAGGCGTATACATTATAAGTTATAGTATTAGTTACAGAATAATTATATAGTTTTGGTGACTACGTAATTAATTATAATTATAGATTATTTGACACTTTCGATGATGAAGTAATTAGTTACAGAGTATTTAATGTTGTTTTGCTGACTAGATAATGAATTACATATTATTACACCACTTAATCAAAGGTTATTAGTGAGGTTATGTACTGTACTGTAATTAGATAGAATAGATGATTAATTATAGATTTAAAACTTTCGAATGTTATTTAATTCAGTGTTTCAAAATAGTTTATGTATAAAAAAATAGATTTCTGGTTATCTGTTCAGTTTTTACGACTCACAGAAACGGTGGTCATGTCTCACAAAGATACTCAATGACTTTGACTTAATAACTCACTGAATTAATTCTTGACCCGGAGACTAAAAACATTAACCCAATGACTAATAATAAAAATTATATTAAACTTCTATGGCGTGTTTCACCATCTCTCTCTCTCCCTCTGGTATTCTCCGTACTGTTGTTATACCACGTCCGTTATCTGTGAAGTCAAAATGTGTATTTTTTATGAGTATTTTGAATGAATGTTTAGTGTAAGTGTTGATGCTATGAGCTTGGGGGCACACTTGCTCATACATGATTAATATAAAATGTAATGTTCTTTTGTTTTGTTGACTTCACTCAGACCCTAGCATTATGACGTCACTCAGCTGTATTCAACATATTATTATTATTATTATTATTATTATTATTATTATTAGTATTATTAGTATTATTAGTATTATTATTATTATTATTATTGCCTGTTTCTATATACACAAAACTTCACAAACTGACACAATACAGTATACGAAATATTATAATTGAATCAAAATTTACTGTGACTCACTGACTAAACACTCAGTCACGTGCTTCATTAACTCACTCACTGACTAAACACTCAGTCATGTGCTTCATTGACTCACATATCACTAAAAATTATGAGCACAGTCTACAACAAAGAGGACGTAGAAAAATTATTGCGTCAATAATTGTGTACGCCAGATAAAATGTTTACGTCAATAATTGTTTATATCTGCCCCAATTGTCGTCAAGTTATACAATTATAATGTAGCTTTAGTTTGATGCTCCGTGTTGTTGATGGGTGCTGCGCCTCTAGAACCAGCCGAGGGCCTCAGTCGTGAGTGGTGATCCAGTTATGTTGTTAAGGAAACTGTCACAACAGGTTTGTTTTCGTCATAAATTATATAGTAGTTCCTGGTAAAGTTAGTGTGTCAGTCATGTTCGTTATGACGACTTCTCTCATTGGATAGTTATCCAACCAAGTGACTCACAACTTGCTGACATATGACTGACTATGCATCTTTTAAGTGACTCACGAGCCACTGACCATTGTTTAAAGTCAAATTGTGACTTATCGAAGCTTGTAATGTAGCAATATTTGTTTATACAGCACTGTACTGTACTGCACCAGAATGTTTCAGCTTCCATAATGTTAATCACATTTAGGTGTTTCTAATTTAATAAGATGTGTTCATAAGAGTACTACAGTATTAAGATTGTATTTATATGTGTAATGTGGTTGTGGGTCGCAGTTAACATAATATACTACCACGACAATTTTGTATTTTCTTCACCTTAATTACGGATAATAAATGTTGTAATAAAGTTGTTTTCTTAACCACAACACACTCTTGTATCACTTAAGTCAAAGATGGAACTTCATATTTTTATTTATAGGTTGGGCAAGGTTTTCAAAGGTCTTGTTTGGTATTAGTATTTTACCACTTCTGGTGGAAGTGGTGTTCATACATTACCAAGATTAGTCTAATCCAGTTAAGGTCAAACTATTCGTTTTTCGCCCACTCTTGTTACGAGAATGTGTATGTGTATTTTGAATGATTAGAATAAGGAAATTTTATTTTGAACGGTTGGAAAATTAAAACACCGCACATAAATTTTATTTGTCCATTGTGAAAAAAGTCTTCATCATAACTTAAGATAATTGGATCAGTATTTCCAAAGAGGAAGAAGCGTTTAATGCCATTAAATATTTCTGAAAAATATTTTGGGACAAACTTTCCAAAAGGCAGACGTAGTCCAGGTCTTCTTGTACTCAAGGTTAAGAATCAGTAAAATAGTTTCATATTATTCCATAGAATATAAAATAAGTAAAAAATCAACTTATTAAATTTTTATTGGTTACAGACAGTATATATTCAATGTGTACATATTCCTTACACTTTGACTTTACGTGCACAGAATATAATGCAACATACCTCTTTACGGGGAATAGCCCACCTGGGGGGTGAAGAAATACCACGAAGACGATGGAAAACCAGCTTTTTGAAGAGACAAATTGCTTGTAGTTAAACACTCCTGTTAATTAGGAAACAAGAATCCCACTCTTAAGCTGTGGGAAGGATCCACCTCCCCAGAATGCGGTAGGATTCTGCCCCAGAATACGGTAGAGCTCCGCCCTAGAAGATAATAGGATTTCGCCCTAAACAACGGTAGGATTCCGCCCTAGAAAATGGCAAGATTCCGCCCCAGTAGACGATAGGATTCTGCCCCAGAAGACGGTAGAATTTCGCCCAAAAGTCGGTAGTATTTCCCCCCAAAAGACGGTAGGATTCCGCCCCAGAAGACGGTAGGATTTCGCCCCAAAGACGGTAGGATTCTGCCTCAGAATAGGGTAAGATTCCGCCCCGCTATATGCAAGGATGCTGCCCCAGGAGAAGGTAGGTTTTCGCTCCACAAGACGTCTGATTCTGCCAAAGAAGACAGTAGGATTCTGCCCCAGAATATAAGAGCCGAGTTTCTACTTTTTTTTTATATATACCATGGTAGTTAGCTTTTAAACTCTTCAACCTTGTTTTCTCTTAATTTCTTACTTCATTTATTTCCTCCATTAGTTTTGTCTAGTTATTTCATTTCATATAGTTACTCCATAACCTCTGACCTTTGGTAGCGTGGCTCGAGGGTTATGACACATGGGTACATTGTAATTCTGGTATCAAGCAATAGGAAGGAATGACGGCAAAAATACTGCAGGTAAATGATACTCCTAACATACAAATAAAATGGTTTATTAAAATTATAAACGGGTTTATTAAAATGAAGTTATATTTTATGAATAATTCTATTAACACTCAACTACAGGGGTCAACTCCCTGGCTTTACTTATTTTGTACTGTTAAACTTAGGTACATTCTCCACTTACACCATGACTGGGTGTACATGTACAAGAACACACATAATACTCTTAGATAGCACCTTTGAGCACCATTATTACAAGTGGCAATGATGCCAGTTACAGCACCAACACTAGGGTTGCCATACGTCCGTATTTTCCCGGACATGTCCTCCATTTAGGTCTCGAAATCTTCATCCGGAAGGAATTTTTTAAATTCTTCAAAAGTCCGGAATTTCAGCTTCCATCATTTTCTCCACGGAAAAAAACAAACATGAAATTGTAATGACGAGAGAGGGAGACAGAGAGAGGGGAGGTGGAAACCGTAGAGATTT